TTCATCACATTATTACTTGAATGACTAATATACTTATGGGTAGATTTTAATGCATCAATTAATAAAGAAAAATGTAATCTTCTTAATTAAAAAAATTTTTAAAAAAATTTATTTTTATTCATACCAAATCTCTTGTTTTTCATGTCAACAATTTTAACTTAAATCTAAAGTACGGTTAATGGAGAAAAATGGTCATGTCAACGGCTAACTCCCCGAAGAGATTAAAAAGAGAACCTTAGAGACCAAAAAAGAAAACTTTTCAGTTGAGGGACAAAAAAAGGCTCTATACAAAAGTTGAGGGACACAAATGAGGTTTTAAGCTTCTGAGAAAACGGTTTTTAAAACCCCATAAGAAAAGACAAACCAAAAAGAAAAGGAAAGCAGTGTTCATCCTTGATTTTCCCTTCTCCGGCACCGGAATACCAACATTCTCCGTAATGGCCAACCAGTCCTCCTCCTCCTACCCGATCCTCTCCGCTTCCTTCAATCAGGACAACAGGTAACCGATCTGTACTAAACTTTTCAGATTCACTTCTTTCAATTTTGTAATAACCAGAATTTTCTCGTTGATTCGCAAGTGGCTTTGCAATAAGCACCAAGAATGGTTTTAAAATTTTCGATTCCAGTACAGGAAGACTATGCTATGAACGAGGCAAGTCCGATTCTATCCATTTAATCAAATTTCAGCTAAATAATTATTTTTTTGGTTATATTTAGTTGTATTGCATTTGTATCCATTAATTTTATATTAACAACTAAAATTGAAGCTTCCAATTTTTTATACGAATCACAAGCAATTTTATCATTGATTATTTCATTTAATCATACCCAAGTTGATTGTCTTTTGGGATTTTTGCTAATTTGGTTTTTTTTTTTAAAAAAAAAAAAATTCCCCAGCTGCTGGAGGTTTTACCATTGTTGAAATGCTGTATAGCTCTAGTCTTCTTGCCATTGTTGGAGCTGGTGAGCAGGTGGGTACTTGATTTCGTTCCTGTTAGGCATCATTTAGTAGTGATTTTTTTGCATTATTTCTTTTAAAATTTCATGAGGTTGATAAATTGCAACTCACTGTGGTGCTACTGGAATATCACAGCCATCTTTATCTCCTCGCCGTCTCTGTTTGTTCGACACTAGAAGAGGGGCTCCTCTTCGAGAATTAAACTTTTTAACTTCAATTCTTGCTGTTCGTTTAAATAAGAAAAGGTAAATCCCTTTATTTAGTTGTAGCAAAAAGGGTCTAATGGCCCATCTTGTTTGATAATTGGAATTGTGTTGCATCTTCTTCATTCCTTTACGTCTGGTTATGGACCTTATGGTTTTTATTCTTAATGATACTATTTTGATTTCTATACTCACTTTTTAAGCTTACTACAAGAACACTTGGGTTTGGATTTGAATACACCAATAATCTATATCATTATTAATAAATTTGAACTCCAAATGTTGCCTCCAATTTTGTTCTTTATTGATGGAACTTAAATTCTATAAATGCAGACTCGTGGTTGTTTTGCAAGAAAAAACATACATATATGACTCAAACAGCCTTGAAATATTGGTTACTATAGATACTGTTCCAAATTTAAAAGGTAAGGTCAACTTGGCTTGCTTTTGTTTGCATTTTAAGAGGAAGTATTTGGTGATAAATTTTGACATGTATATATCCTTTATGGTGAATTAATCAGTTAACTTGGGTGGGTAGTCTGAGGTAGGTGTGGATGGAACATCAAAGAAAGAAACTATTGCTTATAGATGGGGAGAGAGCATAAGGAATATATGCTATTGCTTGTTACTCAGTACTCACTCATTTTAACAAACGCATTATTCATTCTACCATGAAATTTCCACCACAAATCTGTTTTGTCTCCATGTTTTTCTTTAGAAGAGCCAATCTATGTAAAATTTAGATGGTCCAATTTTGAATGGGAATTTTGGATGGTTGATGTATTATCAAACTGGCTTCTGAAGGAATTTGGATAGTTAAAATAGCAAAGGATCAAGAAAATACCCTTGGGTAAAAGAATATTCCTTATTTCCATTTCTTAAAATTCTTCAATATATACTTTTTCTTGTCAGGACTATGTGCATTCTCCCCTAGTTTGGATGGTTGCTTCTTGGCTCTTCCTGCAAGTACAACTAAGGGAACTGTTTTAGTGTACAATGCCATGGAGCTCCAGTCACATTGTGAGGTTGTCATGTAAAAGTTTCTAATCATGATTGGAATGCCTAATATATGAAGAGTCAGTACTTCATCCGCCTTGCATCATCTTAGTTGAATACATTTATCTTTCCTAAATGATTTTCTTTTTCAATGTGACAGTGAAGTTTACTAATCTTAACTTCAAGTGGTTAGGAGGATGCTTTTTTACTTTCTCCACACGTGAATTTCTATTGATTGATCGTGTGTTGTACAGAGATAAATGTGATTGTGAATGATTCAAAGGATTGCAATATGTGTTGGTTCAAATCGACTATTTCTAATCTCATATACTTCTGGTTTATGGTTCTGTAACACCTTGGCCGTAGTGGCAAAAAGGTCACCTTGCAAAAATTTAACTTATGAAAAGAATTTTGACTTTCTAGCAAAGAAAAAAAGAGTTGAATTTTTTCTGTAGATTTTATGAAGAAACTTAACAATGATTACATAACAATGATTATTTACTGTTCTCTTGCTGGTTTTTGTTTTACATGCATCATTTTAGCTTCATTTCATTCAAAAAACCTACATTTTTCACCTACTAAGGAATCTGTCATTGGTAGTCACAAGTGTCTTGTTTTACTCTCATTATCATTATTAATCTTTTAGTTACAAAGGTAATTCATGAATTGCTTCTTCTACTTTGCTTTCTCAAAAGGGACTGCCAGAAAAACTCCCCCATACACTTTGGTTATTATACTGTCAATAACATGTTCTTTTTCATCCTGTTTATTACTTGTTACCTATTTGGCCATGAGTTTTGTTAACTTGAAATTTCAAGTGCTAAAAATGTTAATATAGAGTTGCTGATTTTCAAAAGAAAAAAAAAAAAAAAAAAGGTTAATGTAGGTTATTTTCAGAGAGATTAAGTTAATATAGCACTACTGCTGGGTACCATCTATTCTTTCTGTTTGCAACAGATCAACTTACCAAATACTCCTGCAATGAGTCAACATCATTTCTTCTTGCAGATTGATGCTCATCGTTCACCTTTGGCAGCAATTGCCCTTTCATCCAATGGGCTGTACATTGCAACAGCATCTGAACAGGGAACCATAATCAGAGTTCATATGGTCTCAGCAGCAACCAAGGTAAAGAATTTCTCAACATATAATTTATGGACTTATTTGTTACCTTCTTATGAGTTGCTCTTGACATGAACTTAACTTTTTCTTTTCTATCAGCCATATAATTTCAGGAGGGGTACATACCCATCAACCATATTTTCCTTGTCGTTTGGCCCATCAAAGCAACTTCCTGATATTCTTGTTGCCACAAGTTCTTCAGGTTCTGTTCATGTTTTCTCTCTAGGGTTTGGTGTAAATCCAAGGTGAGAAACTTAGAATAGACATGCTCGCATTTAAGTTTATATGAAAATGTATTTTGGAAACAATAAAGCACAAAATATATATATATATTATATCATTAAAAATTTCAGAATCCCTTTGCCTTTTATTGGCAGGAACCATGGCTATCAATCATAGCTATTGCTTCTGGATGTGCACTGACCACTGAGGTGGTCTCATATTTTGTTTTGTTTTTCAACAGATGATTTTTCCTTTTCATTACTAGTCACTTTTCCCTTTCTTTGAATAAAATACTTCTTTCATTAGCCTTTAATTATCATTTTTTTTTCTCCCTTCATCCTTTGTACGGATTCTTTTATTTCAAGTGCAACTTAGGTTACAACTTCAGGAACATCCTTAAATTTTGTTCTCAATATCACATACCTTCCCTGTGTAATGTCATCCATGTTTAAATGATGTTGTAAGCCTATTTTGACCCTGAAAGTTGTTCTTCTTGCTTCTTCCTTCAACACTTAAGGGTAATTTTCCTTTTTCTGAGTCTTGGGGACTGAGTGCTTTTGGTGAACACTAAACACTGAAGTATTTGAATTGGGGCATTCAAAAGTTCAAGTGACCCAGAAAGATGGTGGTATCATATTGTTACTTTGTTAACCTAAGCCTAAGAGTACTTATTTGAAATTGTTGGAAACCTAAGGGCTAAGGGGTTTTAAACATTATGCTACTTCAGGGAACCAGTAAAAGTTATATCTTCCGTAAAGTCTTTAGCAGAGCACAGTTTTCAAATGAAGCTTTCTATTTATGTGTTGGAAGTTTGATTTTAGATTATCATTGTATCATGCCATGATAGATTCAATATGTCAACTGACTTCTGTTTCTCTCATTCAATTTTTAACATTTGGCAGAGCCAGGAGAACTGGTGGCCTTCTTGGAGCCATATTGCCTCATTCTGTGAGTGATGCTTTAGATCCAGCTCACCACCATGTGCTTCAGAATGCTGTTCCAGCAGGGTCCAGAAGGTGACTGTTTGTAACTGACATGGTGCACTCATGACTCAGTAATACTTGACTTCTGCTGTACAAATGTTACAGTCCATGATGCCACATAACCAACCTAGCTATTGTTAAGCAATATATTTTCATATTTTGTATTCTTTAACTTAATTTTAGAATATATGTCCTGTAATGCAGTATTGTGGTGGTTCGCAAGGTAGACAAGGTTGCTGATGCTGATGCATCTTCATCTGAGTTTGTATCTTGCAGGTCCATTCTCTGATATTCTTGATTAGTTGTTTCTTTCTGTTCTTGGTGGGGCTTTGGCTGTGCTTAGCCCCTACTTCCTTTCCTTTCGCTGCACTTATTTTCCTTTTGTTTTGTGAATGCCAGGGCCACTGTATCATTAATAACATACAATGGTTACTTCCAGGAGTACACCTTTAGTATGAACAATCAGAATGAGTCTTCATGGAGTTTGGAGTATGAACTTAACCTTCTAAGTACAATCTCTGATACTGCAAGATCTTAAATCTTGACTAAAGGTAACATGAATCTTCTCATCTCAAGGCTTTTCTTTCAGTGTTTCTTGTTCTTCTGATGCTATGTTTTTGTCAGTCACAGAACAAGATCCAGCTTGCATGTCCAAGTTACAATCTACAGCTGTTGACACAGCTCCTGACATAACTTCACAAATAATGAAAAATCAGCTCTGTGGTTAATCCTGCAGTATCAGAGCCTTGACTACAGGTGGTGCAGGTGGTGAAAGAGTCGATGCCAGACCTGTAATATGCAAAGGCAAGTCATATATATTCATAATATATGTTCAAGTCAGACCTGTAATATGCAAAGGCAAGTCATATATATTCATAATATATGTTCAAGTCAGATTTGCATGACTCAGAATTATATATTTACCATGTACTTTGGGCAACTACTCTCAGATATGTTTAAACGTTTCTAAAGATTAAATGACTACTGAGTGATTGTATCTTTCAGTGTTGTGTGAAATGTATTTAAGATCTCAAACGGCCAGACCGAAACAACCCAAAACAACTGATTCTAGGAATAATGGAAACCTTGTTGTCCATGCCTTCTCTTCTTCTCTTTATCTTTACTGTTATAACCTTTCCATCCCTGCAACAACGATGGTAACATCTATTCGGGTAGCCGTTAAACTCATCCGCCGTAATACCATCGATTCCCCTTACCATAGTCTGAAGGAAAACGTCACATACCTCATGGAACGAGCCATGAGAGCTTCGATGGCACATTTTAGAAGAACTTTAGCCATGGATGATGATATTTATGCCGACGTTCTTCCTAATACCGACAATTTCATGTTTACTGTGAACCTGTCCATTGGACAGCCACCTATCTCTCTATTCACTGCCATGGACACGGGAAGCAGCCTTCTATGTGTTAAATCAACGCTCCCCTTTCCAGCAATGTTCCCGACACTATTTTCCAATATTTGACCCTACAAAATCGTCCACTTTTGCTGACTTGCCATGCAATTCTGAGAATTGTTCCCGACGCCGCACTTTTAATTGATTCAACCAATGTAAATATAGGCAGTGGTACGTCGAAGACCCTCCCTCAACTGGAACCCTCGCCACTGAGCACATCACGTTTTAGACATCAGACGAAGAAATACTCACCCTACCCAATGTAGTATTCGGGTGCGAGTGGGTGCAGTCACAAGTCACAACAATGGAAATTTCACCGATCACCGCATCAGTGTCGTGTTGGGTTTTGCATATTTTTTGAACTAGTACAACTGGAGGTTAGGGAATGGAATTGTTAGAACTTCAAATTTTGAACTTCTAAAAATATCATCACACTTTTTAAAAGAATTGTAATTATTGGATCACAATTGGTTGACTATTGGGTTTTGCATATTGATTGCAAGTTTTGAGCGTTTTGTTGCACTAGATCCAATAAGATTGATCTGGGTTTAGGAAAAAAATGAAAACCGGTGATTTGTTTTCCGACTTACCACCCAAAAGCTCACCACCATCCGACTTACCACCCAAAAGCTCACCACCATCCGACTTACCTAAACTTCCCGAGACGGCTTGGGTTTTCTGTCACTTTTATCTTCCTTAATTATAGGAGACGAGATTTTTACATTTTTTATTTGATTTTTTCTGTTTGATTTGGAGTTTTTGTCCCTTTAATTATTACCATGGAGTTATAGGGGAAAAAAAAAGAGGGAAGAAGAAGAAGAAAAACCCTTGCAAATGTCTCAAAAATCCAGAATCTGAATGTGAATCAAGTTCAACATAGCCAAGTATTACATCCAACTTGAAGAAGACTGAACTGGAGTAGTAATACATGAAAGAACAATATGTAGAAAAGACGTTATGTCAAATTTCTAGCTTTTACACTTCCACTACGCATGGAAAAAGTATAATATCTAGCTTATCCACCATTGCAAAGTTCCTGCAATTTACACCATACTGGATTCTCCTACCCATCAAAGTTGTTAAATGTGACCTTTTCAATCTTCCATGTGATATCATTTCAACCAAGTGTCAATTAACCAGCTAAATTTATCTAGTCCTTGTCTTGACAAACTTGGGCCGTGCAGATTTCTTCTCCATCTTTTCCCTTTTCTTGCGAGTCTTTTCATCTTCCACTTCACCCTAATTCATTATATATCCATATCCATACACCCAGTAAGCCCACACATAATTTCTTTTTCATCTAATGATGGCAAAAAGAACATGGAGATATGTGAATATACCTCTGAACCATGTGAAAGGAATCCTCTAATAAAACCAAAAGATTTGTATGCTCCAAATCCCGGTATCTGAAAAGCAACAAAGCCTTTGCATTATGCCTTGTCGCAATAATCTACTTAATTTTAAGTGAAAATAATCAAAAGTTTCCAGAATAAATTCCACATCTGGTAACAAAACACACACACACAAACAAAGAAACAGTTGCTGGATGATGCCCAAATATCTAACAATTACTCACAAAGTTTTCTAACTGAAAAGTCAGGTTTCCAAGGAAAGAATCATGAAACATTTTGATAATCTAAACAGGAAGATCTCCTCCCAGTATTGTACCTGATCATCTTAACTCCAAAAGAGAAGGCCTTAAGAAGTGCTTATTTGGCTAGTTATCAACTCAAAGAACAATCAGATGATACTAACTGGCAGAAAGAGACATAGTATATCAACTTAATTATTATATCAGTTATATCATATTAGCAGATTCCCTTCTGAATGCTCTACCCTCCATATTACTTACCTAAGAAAATCTGATAACAAGTGCATCAGGTAACTGCCCAACCAAACTATAAAATGCTCTTCTTCATCCCAAAAAGTGTATCTGTGCTTTCTTATCAGCGTTCTGTAGGATTAACCAAGTAAAAAGATCTTACCACAAGATAGATGTACCAAAATTTTCCAGAGATGATGGACATTAGTTGCACAAAACTTGTAATGTAGATTATATCGTGTAGATAACTGCAAAAAAGGAGCAACTGTAAGGCAAGCATATTTTATCACTATCCAAAAGAAAAAGATACTGATCCATAAGAAAACAATTTCAAACAATTAGCCATTTGATCAGAAATCAAATTGAACAAATTGTTACACTAAAACATCTTCCTAGCCAAAGTCAGTGTATGTGATATACAACAGTTTTAACCAATGCTAAAAGAAAAAACTAAACAACAACCAAATACTATTTTTCTGGCCCAAAGATCAGATATCATTTGATAGAGATTATCCTCTTTAAAATGGACCAAATTCAGAAACAGCCTGTTATCACTCATAGAAAGTCATATCTCTTAATCTGCATGTTGGATATCCAACAAAGAACTTTGTTGAATATCTCAAAATCATATAATTAAAGCCATGTTACGGAAATCATATAAAAATAAATGGTCTATATCCACTAACTTTTTATACCCATATAGGGCAATGCAAGAGACCACTTCACAGTCTTAATAGGTTGCCTTCCTGAAAAAAAGAAGAACACCATCCAAATCATGATTAACAAGCATGAATGTGTCATTTTCTTCATCTATTTAAATCAATGCATCCCAAGAAAATAAAAAAGGCATTTATGATTCACTTGTTCCTCAAGGGTTAAAAATTGTTATCCAGATATAATTTAAACAATTAAGTATGAATTTTCCTCACTACTTCAATCAAAACAAGTACATCTTTTATGAATGCTTACTATCCAAATACAATGGTCAAAGATGAAATACAACTGAACTAGAATTCATTTCTATGAAATGGCACTAATTGCTTTCTTTCCCACAATAGACTTCCTATTTATTACTTCACGTGATTATGTTAAGCATACAGAATCCAGCATTACAAACTGGTAAGGCATATGTTGATTCAAATTTATTAAAATGCAAAGAAGAAAAGGACATACCCACATATTCCACCAGTACTCATATCAAATCCCCCATCAAGAAGCTCCCCATCATCCGCATAAGAAGGCTTTGCCATCTGGGCAAGTTGTTGATAGGGAATCATATATGCTGCGGACGTCAAAATTAGACCCACCCAATGTTTCCAAGTGAATGTAGAATAGAAAATCAGCAACCTGACCACGACATAGATAACCTATATAACAGAAAGTTAGAACTTCACTGCCCATCCAAAGGTCACAACTTTTGAGGCTAAACAACTAAAGATCCCACATTTAAACAATACCCACCATTTTTCCTCCCAAGGAAACAAGTGGGCAAGAAGAGTAACAACAACAGCATGCAATACTTCGTGATGATCATGTAAAGAATGAGAGAGTGGAGAAGATGATGAAAACGTACGTTGCAGGCGATGATGAGCCGGCGGAGGTTGGCCATGTGGCGGGCGTTCTCCTCCTTACGCTTCTTGGCACCTTGATTTGCCATTTTTCTTACTCCGGTCAATCAATTTGACTCTGTATAATAATAACACTTTTGATTCATCAAAAAAAAAATTTGACTCTGTATAATCCTAGAAAGAAGCCATTATTATCATCAGTTCTTACGAGACAACAACCAAATTGCGATGAGGAGAAGTGGAAGACGAGGAACGAATCAGCCCCTGGTTCGTTTTGCCAGGCCCACAACCCAAACTACTCAGGACCAACCCAAAATATGAGTTTAGTAATCAAGAATTGAAGACCCGGCTTCCCTTTGCCATTTTTGTTTTCTTTTTCTTTGATTATTTCACAGGTACCATTAATCGATACATATTTATTGATTTTTCCTCTTTTTTTTTTTTTTTTCTGGTACACGTATTTATTTAAGTATATTAAATAAAGAGAATGATGTTTTTCAGTGTAGCCTACAAAAGTGTAATTCAGACTAATAAAATATTAAAATTCTTAAAATAAATGCATTTAAATACTTACACAATGTAAATTGTAAGCATTCTGAAACTAAAAAAGACACATTTCTCTTGAATAAATATCTTTAAATTATATTACTTTAAAATTGAAACAAATCAATCAAGTTATACAAAAATAATATAAAATTAAGAAAATCATGTGTATC